AAGTCATGTATTCTGACAATAAAACAATGAAACAGAAATTTAAAAAAAAAAAAACAGCCACAGTTCCTCTTCTCTTGAGCCTGGGTATTACTATGAAGTCTGGCTAACCTCCAGCTCACCATCCCCCTGCCCCACCTCCTCTGTGCAGCAGGGATGACAGGTGTGTGCCACCACAGCTGGGGACACAACATTCTTGGTGAAAATTAAAACTCTGAAGAGGGGATTTAAAACACCATTCTGTCTGCCCACTTGACAACAGAAAGGCTCACAAGTGGGAGCCGGCTGGCCTCACAGGGATGAGGCCGAGGCTTCAAGCTCTAGCACTGCAAAAACAGACAGTCTTTAAATGGCTCTGTTTTACTTTCTTAATGTGCAGCAACTCTGCCACAAACAATTCACACGGTGGCCCGGCCCTGGGTACGCAGCATATGAAGGAGCTTAACCCTGACCCAGCACTGGGGGTGCTATGACTGGGAAGACAGTCTAGCCGCCCCCACACCTTTGGACACAAACATTATCCACACAGTGACGTCCGACAGCAGTCTTGTCCTGAATGTCTCCCACAACTGCCAAGATCACCGTGTGCGGGGTTTGACCAGTCACTTTAGCAACGAGCTCACAGATGGCTGTTTGCGGCACCACGGAGGATCTGGTTTCTCCACTGCTATGCTCAGCGGAGACTACTCCTCTTTTTCTAAGTCTTGCCCGGATGCAGGTACAGGTACGGATAGAGATGTAGAAAGCTTGAAAGGGCTAACCTGAAGCTGCAGTCTCAATGGCAAAGTATCTGCTTAATACGCAAAGCTCTGAACCGAACAAAAATGAAAACAAAAAACTTTCACTACTAGAGATTCTGAAGCCAACCACTTAGAGTAAGCTACCAGGCTTACTCTTCTAAAAGAACTCATCAGCTCTGAAATATCCTTGTTTCCTATTTTAACATCCTTGAAATAAAGATACCTACTAAAACTGACAGTGTGTCTTAACTTGACAGCAATCTTTGCTTTTCTTTTAGTGGCACATAGAATAATGATATATCTTAAGATGGTCAGGGCCTTAGAATGAAACCAATATGCTATCTAGGGCCAAGGTAACCTTAAGTGTACATTAGCAAGTTTATAATTACGTACAAATCAGTAGAGACTCTTAAGGTCACAGAGAGCAAAGAGCGCTGAGGGTGGTAACACACTGCCACACAGGAGAAGCACAGAAAAGCGCTAGCTATTGCCAGATGAGACTGTCACCCAAAGAAGCCGCACTCCTCAGCGTTTTCATGAACTCTCCCAGGCTTTAACGCGGTATGGAGACCATACTAACGAGAGTTAGCACTCAATTTTGGTCAAGGAGTGTTTGTTTGCAACCCATAACGTTTAGCTCATTTTGCACTACCATGGATAATCTAGCTATGCAAACCTTTCAAGGCGCCTGGAGGAAGAGAGAGAGTGGGGAGCATACTTTAAGAACTCAGGGTCTCGGGCCAACAGGCCTACCCACTGGCTGAATGTTTTCACACAGTTCATTTGAACTCTCTTAGCTTCCATTCCTCAGCCAGAAATGACAGCATACCTCAAGAGTCCTTAATGAAGCATATGTTAGATGATACACAGTTGTTTATATGGAAGAAGAGGTATATCCAATTACCATCTTACACCAGCCTGACCTTCACTTTTATGCCATTTGCCTCTTTCTGGCCTCCAGAAACACTAATGTCTAAGTGAGCTATCTTATTGTTTTGTTTGGGGCTATAGGATTTTTGTTTCATGGTTCATCTGTTTGTTTTTGAGAAGGTTCTGGCTCTTAGGCCAGGCTGGCCTCAAGCTCCCCATCCCTTCCTCTGTCTCTATGTGCTGGGATACCACAGCTAATCTCTTCCGAAGGCTGTCACTCAAACTCTTGATATCTTATCCAATAGAAAATCTCCCAAAATGATACCTTTCTCAGGTGTAATGAAAGATTCCAAAGAGTAACAATAATATTCCTGAGTAAACCATGCCAAAATAGGCTGCAGACGGCCACAAATAAATTCAAACAAGAAAAAGCCCTTCAAGGATCCAAGCCAGATGCAGAAACGAGTCCAAACCTTTCTGATTCCAAACCAAAGCTGATCCTCATCCATGAATTCGAACTGTTGTTCATTAGCTAATCCCTTTAATACCAAAACTCAATTGATGGTAATTTCGATTTTGGTTCCCGAAACTGACATGCTTTAGATAAGAGACTATGAACTCGAAATCACCCAAGGAAATTCAGCTACAATGCATATATAGCACATACGCCCACAAGAGCAAAACCTACATCTTCATCCTTCTCATTCAGTACCCTAGCCAGACCTTAGACTGATGCCCCAAGCTGCAATGTCTTAGCTCTGGCATCCTGCTATGCTCCGGGTTAACACCATGCTTGACCAATAGCAGTACGGAGTTCACTAAGTGGCTTTCTAAGCTGGGATGGGACTAAGTTCATTCCAAATACACAAAGCTTTCCACCACCATCACACACGAACAACACAAGTGTACTTTCAAGATAACCCTGGGTACAGTGCCTGTTTTTCTGAGGTCTACAAGTAGACTCCTTTCTACAGCTACATGAGTATCTTCATGTGATACTTTGCAGCCCACTAGTCCTCCCTATTTAACACAACTTGAGCCTCTGGTAATGTTGGTTTCACTGGGCAGCCCGCTTTCAGAGCCTGTTAATCACGCCCATTTGTTTGCTTACAGACTAATTTGGGAGACATAACAAAGCAAGTAAATTTAACAATTTGTTGTTAATACTACATGAAGGCATTCTGTCCGTCTTCCTGAGCAGAGGGCCCTCCCATACCAAACAGATACCTTAGAAATATGAAAAGAATCCTTTTCTATTGGTGAGAGAAAAATGAAAAAGGAAGGCAGACGTGGCTTATGTGGGATCATATCCGATGTGTGAGGAGCTAAACAGAACCATCCACAGCAAGGCAATACCTAGATAAACAGTGTCTTCATCACCTCTTGCTATTCCCTGTACAGTCTCTGACAACATGCAGGCGCAGTCACAGGCAAAAGCCCCACACACTCAGGTTTTGTGTCTATGTTCTTCACTTTCACACCCAACACCAGTCAGGATCAGCAGTGATTCTCGAAGACAAAAGTGCTGAGATGCGCCCGTGGATTCTGACACTGGCTGCCAGGGTAAACAAAGCCCTTGCGCACCAGGGACAAGAAGGATTCCTCCAGGCAGATGCATTTTCCAAAACAGCCTCAAAATAATTCTTTCAAGGAGCTCTTAAAAATAAGCATGTTATTTTTAAAAATTAAGAGACCCTAAGATGAAACGCAGCTGTCTTCTTCTCCCTTGATACCTCATCCAGGGAGCCCTTTGTTCAGGAACGTCAGTATCTCAGCACCTCCAAAAACTAGGACTGCCCTCCAGCTCCAGACAAGGAGCTAAAGAGAATCCCCTGGGTAAACAAAACAAGTCTACTTCCACCCATCTCCAGGTAACAGCACACACGAGACACACACACACACACAATTTATTTTACACAAGCACGGCAAATAATCAAAAACACATCACACAATATTTGCATTGTGATCATTCTTTGATAAAATAAACAATCCAGCAAGCACTATCAAAAGATAAAATCAACCCCTACACGCCCTGCCTACCACAAGATACCCATTTCATTCCACACTTAGGTAGAATATGCACACACAGACACACATACCCCATGCCACAGTAGGAAAGCTGTGAAAGGCACACCACACACACACACACACACACACACACACACACACACGCCAGTAGGGAAGCTGTTGCAAGCAAAGCCACACCGTGAATCTGTCTCAGATAATAGACTCTGTTTAAACCCCACCCCCATCACCAGAGAAAGAGGGAACCTCAGAAAGAAAGGAGCGAGGGTAAGACAGAGAAATCGAGAAAGCCCAAATTTCCAGGCATCCACTTTTCATGAAATGCACAACCAGGATAGGAAATACCTCCCTGCTGAGTAATGCTTCATGGGTTGTAAATTCACCTCTCAAAAAGGGAGCCAGACCTGGGCGCGCACCCCGCCAGATGGCGAACCACTCCTACCTGCTCCATCCAGCCTGCCTGTCACTCCGCGCCCGCGACAGGCCTCCCACCCCCCTTTTTGGCAGAGCAACACACCAATAAGAGTCGAGAATGGCTGGTCGAGTGAGGGCTGAGCAGTGATTTAGCAGGACCGTTTCAAACGAGGGAGTGGGGACCGCGATGCGCGAGTGAGGTTTTTTAAAAACAAAGCCCTCTCCAGTCAAACCGACCGTTTGGGGGTGTGGCTTATTTCATTCGTTTTATTAATAAAAGAGATCAATGGAGCTTTCTTCTCTCCACCCACCCCGGAGGTGCGGGGCTTTGAATCCTCTTGACTGGGAAGAAATGGCAGGGCTGCAAGCTTCCCCTAAGTTTCCTGCAGCACCTGCCTCCTTCTCGGACCACCTCCACACACCAAAATAGAAGAGTCCGGAACGCACAATCCCAGCTCCAGACTTTGCAAGACCCAGGGGCGGCCGCACGCAACTCTCCGGGTGTCCCCTGCTCTCTCCGGGATCTGCATGCATACAACCGCTACCGAGCGCCCACAAGCAAGAAAAGTCCCAGGGGGAGACACCACCAGTCTCCTCAACAATCCCCAGATCGCCTGCGCCACGCAGAGACCCCTGCAGCGACCCAAACGTGACACACGTCACGGACTCCAGGCTGCAGGGGCATGACCAGGAAGGAAAGTTGCCTAACAGCCCCGAGAGACGCGGCTTGCTGAGGAAAGGGACCCGCGGGGCAGCGGCACACGCGGCCTCCGCCCACCCTGAGAGCCCCGGGCCGAGGAGCGCACCTCCCCAGTGAGGAGGGAGGACCAAGTCACCCACCGCTCGGGACCGCTCTGGGTCACCCGGATTTCGCGACCCACTGCTGGCAGGGGACACGCACACAGCGGAGTGGCCCCGTCCCTTCCCCACACAGCGCTCTGGGCAGGAACTCACCTCCTCTTCCGAAAGTCCGTAGACGGGTTCCCCGAGCCCGGTCGCCATGGAGCCGGCACCCCGCGCGGGGTCCTAGACGCTGCGACCGGCTGAAGTACGTCGCGGGGCCGCGACCCTCTGTCCTTCTGCGCCGCCCGGCGGGGAAGGGCCGGCAGGTGAGGCTGCACCCGGCCGCGGCGCCGCTTCCTCCCGGAAGGCTGCGGGGACGCGCGGACTGGCGGCTCCGAGAACGCGCCGAGCGGCGGCTTGGCCCAGCGCTCTCTCTCTCTTTCTCTCTCCACTCAGCGCTGAGCCCGCCGGGCTCCCGCCCCCGCCGCTGGCTCTCCCGGCCTCCCCAAGCCCGCTCGGCGATCCCCGGGACCCGCGCGCCCGCCCCTCGCCTGCTCCGCCCGGCCCGCTCTCCCCGCCCCGCCTGCGCCTCCGGGCGCCCACGGGGACCCTCCCGCTCGCCGGGGCGGGCACTCGCGCCCCCCAAGCCAATCACAGGCCGAGCTGGGGGGCGGGCCGCGGGGGTGGGGGTGTTTCGCCCCACGCCCACCCCACCCCCGCGCCTCCTGGGTCACCCCGCGCGGAGTGCTGAGCTGGGGCGCGCCCTGGCGGACTGGGCCTGCCGGGCTGACCCTCCTGCTTGCTCTGCTTCCCTCTGCCTTGGGGACCCGGTGGACTGGACGTTGGGGGGGCGACCATGAAGACACCGTGCAAACAACAACAAAATCACTATTTCCATTTTTATCTGTCTTTTTTTTTTTTTCTTAAGCCAGAGTCCCAGGAGCGTTAAAAGAGGGCGACGGGCGACGAGGCATGCTTCTAGATCCCCTTTAAATTCTTGGCAGCTATGGCAGACCAGACTTGGCTAACCGCGTCAGCTCCCCGAAGCGACCGGCCTGGCTGGGCGGCCAGCCTAGGAGAGTCTGCCCCGGTGTGGTCGCGAGTCGCCATTGCCGATGTCAACTCTACTGGGAACAAAACCAACTCTGCGCCCGCGCTGAGTACACACCCACCCACTTGAAACCTGGCTGCCTGGTTCTTTGATAAAAGCTTGGGTTTTTTGTTTTCTGGGGTTTTTTTTTTTTGTGAGACAGCGTGAAATACCAAATTCAAGTTTAAGTTTGTCCTTTACATATGCAAACGATGGAGCCTTCTTATTAGCCACTGTAGGAGTCTCCCCACATTCCAGATGCATTGTTTCTCTAGCAAGCCCTTCATTTAGTCTTTCTATGTACAGGAATGCAAGAAGCTACTTTAAATAAGTTAAGAGAAAATCATCACTCTACTTTTTTTCAAGAAGCCATCCCTAAGAGCCAGGCGTGGTGGCGCACGCCTTTTAATCTCAGCACAGGGGAGGCAGAGGCAGGCAGATCTCCGTGGGTTTAAAACCAGCTTGGTCTGCATAGTTCAAAACAACTAGGGCTGTCGAGACACTGTCTCAACTCAGCAAAAGGAAGCCGTTCTCCCTTCAATTTAAATGTTGAATGCACTGGTGGATTATAAAACAGGAAGAACAAGCGATTTGCCTTTAAAAAGAAATTACCAGAGTTTCTGGTTTTGCCTGGGAGGTTAGGATTTTCACTGAAGGAAGAATTCACAAAATCAACAGACTCACCTTGCCTGCCCTGGTTTAAAGATCAAATACCTGGTGTGCACCCTGCAAATCGAAAGGAAAGGCAGTCCCACACTCCCAACTTTAGCTCTCTCTTTCCTCCCTTGCTGGTGCCCCATGGAACCACTGCTCAGAAGCCTCCGAATTCAGTCATCAAGTTTGTATGGTGCTTAGGAGCCACAAAATCCCTACCAAGAAAAAAAAAGTGATAGAATATTTCACAGAACTCTGCTTGTGTTTTCCCACCAAGAATTTTCAACTTATCAAACCTAGACTTTTGTTGTTGTTGTTTTATTTTTGTTTTGTTTTGTTTTGGTTTGGTTTTCGAAATAGGGTTTCTCTGTAGCTTTGGAGCCTGTCCTGGAACTAGCCCTTGAAGACCAGCCTGGCCTCGAACTCACAGAGATCGGCCAGTCTCTGCCTCCTGATTGCTGGAATTAAAGGCCTATGCCACCACCATCCGGCTTATCTTTTCTTTTTTGAAAAGGCGCATATGCGCATGCACCACATTTGATATACCCTGCACTCTGGAGTCAGAGGCAGGCAGATCTCTGTGAGTTCAAGGCCAGCTTGGTCTTCAGAGTGAGTTCCAGGACAGGCTCCAAAACTACAAAGAAACCTTGTCTTGAAAAAAACAAAACAAAATAAAATAAAATAAAAACAAGATCTGAGGTGGTTACATAAAGACAATACACTGCTGGGGTAGGGGATGTGGTGATATTTTGTTTATGATCTAACCAATAAAGCTTGACTGAAGACCAGAGTGCAAAGCTAGCCACGCTAGTCAGCCACACAGGCCAGGCAGTGGTGGCACACACCTTTAATTCCAGCAGCCACACGAATTAGCCCTAGAGGCCGGGTGGTGGTGGTGCTTGCCTTTAATTCCAGCTCTAGAGACGAATGATTATAAGGCAGGATAAGACAGGAACTCACTCTCTTTTCAGTATGAAGATTTTATAGAGGTAAGAGCTCTCTCTCTAGTGATTGGCTGCTTTGCTTCTCTGATCTTTCAGCTTGCACCCCAATATCTGTCTCGGGATTTATATTATTCGTGCTACAGGGGAAGGCCAGCTCCCCAGTGGCACTGACTAGAAGGGAGTTTGAGAAATGCAACTGTCATGAGCAGGCAGGTACCCATGACCATCTAGACGGGCTTCTCCGTGATGCAGCTACCCTTTGAGCCACTCATGTCCCCTTTAAGTTACCATCAGTTCCCTACACTATGTTAGAGGAGCTGTTTCATCGTGTTCTATCAGAAATGAATATACATCTGTTCATCTCTCCCCAGGAGAAGTCATACAGCAGGCTGAGTCACCTGGACACTGTGGAAGGATGTCACCCTTCTTCATCATTTTCTTCATCATCCTGCTCCCTCCCCACCTCCAACACAACAAATAGCCTTTGCTACCAGCAGTCTAGGTCATGCCCTTGACATTCCCCGAGGGATGGATATTAGAAGTGGTTGTGAACAAAATACAAGGTGTGGGTGTACTATATTCTCCAAGAATTAATAAAAGTTTATATTAAAATGTACATAGGAAATTTGTCGTGTGCTATTTATTATGGATAGTTTACACAATTATGGTCTGTAACATCATTCAACATCCCAGATGAGCAGATTCAAACAAAACATTGACTTGAGATCTGTGAAGGAAACCTTACTGTCTTTCAAGGAACTCACGAGAAAAAAAAAATATGTTTTACTTGATTGTGATTTTGTTATTGTTGTTGTTGTTTTAGTTTTGGTTTTATAGAGACGGGGCTTCTTTGCATAGCTCTGGCTGTCCTGGAACTTCTTGTTCCATAGACCACTGGCCTCAAACTCAACAGAGATCCACCTGCCTCTGCTTCCTGAGTGCTGGGATGAAAGCCATGTGCCACCACCACCCGACTTCTGATTGTGATATTTTTAAGAAAAAAAAATATTTTGGCTACCAGCAGATACAGAGCACCAAACCATAAAAGAACTCACCTCAAACTATCAATGTTCTTTGCAACTGTGTGGTCTGCCAGAGCTGTGGTCCACTACACTGGATGCAGGGTGGGAGCATTTGGGGAGCTTTAAAAAGAGGTGACAGGCAGGTTGTCCTCACAGGGTCGGTGGAGAAGAGCAGGCATCAGTGGTTATGGTAGCAGCTCAGGTGATCCTCACATGCAGGCTACCTGTATCCTAAGCCAACAGGTCCCAAACGGTTACACAGAGACACCCCTGGGGATACTTGAGGACCACTCCGGGCCACCCACCCCTAGGCATGTAACTAATGCCAGGGGTGTGGTGGGGGAATATGGGGTCAGTTTTAAAGCTTTCCTGGTGATTCTAAAAACACAGCAAGGGTTTTTAGACTCCTCTAGACTGGAGTTATATTTCTGCACTTTTACACTTTCATAATTTTATTCCCTTTTTCAACATTAGAAGAAACTATACACTACAGATCATTTGTAGAGTAAGATGGGATGCGAGCATCTGTTCTTTCGTGTGGACTATCTATCAGCACTGCCCAGGCATCTCGGGTGGTTGTGAACAGACAAGGATAGCTATGAGAAACCCACCAGCACTCTTAGCTAAAACCACCAGTTTCTTCCCATCGCTTTCACGTCTATTCAGAAACCTAGAGAGACTGAGGTTTCTCCTCTAGAGGCTGTTGCCCTTTGTCTTAGGTTTGGGACTCAGGGTGTTTGGCAGATGATCTTCACTGGGATCATCAAAAATGCAGAATGAGCAGGAACCGCTTCCAAATGCAAAGGGTGATCACGAACAGGGAACATGTTCAGGATGAGTCTCCGGTTCTCAGATTATTGAGCTGTCTGGTGGAATTCTGTGACTCTTGATCCCATCTGTCAATCAAAGTGGAATAGTTTGTAACACGGCACGTTCACACCCAGGTTATCAGTCGACACTTGCTTTTTAACTCGCGGCTATGTTTCCTAGAGCAGACATGCGGAAATGGCTACATGCTTGGAAAAACTGGTGTCGCGATGGAGCTTAGCAACATTCCTTGAGTTTCCTGAGACACTGAGAAATCTCGAAAAATTATTAAGGTGCTTGAGATTCTATGAAGAAATACTGCCGTTTAGGTTTTTGACAGTTCAGATGTAGATAACAGTGAACAACTTGCAAATAGCTACTCTTGTATAAAGATAGCTCAGGCTTTAGGAAGCACAGTTTTGAAGGCCTGTGTGCTGCTATTGGTCCAGGCATTCTGAAATAATAGTACAGTACTAGCACCGGCCCTGAGATCTACGGTTCCGTATTTGCCCTCTGTGAAACATCTGCCCTCTGACTGGCTGCATGATTTCCGGTTTCAAAATCATTATTCCTAAAATCCGTACAGCTGCCCCGCTGCGAACTCTCTTCCTTTCTGGAGGGTTTCTGTCAGGAAGTGTTCTTTTCGTTGCCTTCTCACGGCGGTTCTTCCCTTCTCCTTGTTGGCACGTGAGTCTGCATCTATTCTTCCGCAGGCGGCACTTGACACTTTACATGTGTGCCTCACAAATCAGTTATGTACTCCTCCTTCCTGAGGAACACAAAAAAAGGTTTCAAACATTGGATTTTGGTTTCATTTGCTTGTCTGTTTTTGGTCTATTTATTTATTTTAATTTTTCCAAGACAAGATTTCTCTCTGTGGCTCTGGCTGTCTTGGAGCTCGGGCTGTAGATCATGTTGACTATGATCCAGAGATCCACCAGCCTCTGCCTCCTATATTATCCTACTTTAAGTTAATTCCCGGTGCTGGGATTAAAGGTGTGTGCCACCCGGCCTGGCTGTTTTTGTTTTGTTGGTTTTTGAGACAGGTCTCACCGTGTGTATCCCTGCTGCCCTTGAACTCACAGAAATCCACCTGCCTT